CTTTCTGAAGTTGCATTTGCTGATCTTGTTGGGCCTGTAGCTGTACACAAAGATCACTGGCAGTCTTTTCTTTTTCCGCCATGTCATGCTGGAGCTGATCTACCTTAGAAGTCAAGCTTTGCACTTGTTCCTGCAGCTGGGTGACCTTTTCCTCCCTCTCCCTAAGTAACTGGTTAAGATGACTACATTCATTTGTTTTTGCCAGGATTTCTGAGTGTGAGTGTGTACTTTGATCAAGAACTTTATTTAACTCATTACTTCGAACAGTCAGCTCCTCTTTATCTTTTTGTAGCCCTTCAATAATCTTGTTGTTTTGTGAATGCTGTGTTTCCAATATGGATATTTTGGCTAGCAACGAATCCTTTTCTGCTGTAACTTCTGAAATAATTTTGATGCTGTCAGTTACTTTCATGTCAAGTCTTTCTTTCTCTTGTGTAAGGCAACGAACTTGATCCTCCAAACCACTGTTAAGTTCAACAGCAGCTGTAAGCTTTTCTTGAAGTTCTTTTAAATTCTGCTTCTGTAGCTCAAGCTCCTCATTCAGCCCTTTAAGTCTGTCAAGCAGCTGCTCGTTCTCAGTCTTCACACTTTTTAACATGTTCTTAAGTTTGGAGATATTTTCAGATTTTCTTTGAAGTTCATCGCTCAACTTCTGATTCTCAGAGTCCCGGATTTGCAGTTCACTGTTGAATTTCTGCCTCTCATCCCTGGTTTGTTGATCATTTGCCTTGAGTTGGTTTTCCAGTGATGCTATGGTTTCCAGTTTTTCCTGGATGTCCCTTTTTATATGTTCCTCACTCTGTTCCTGCTGCTCTAATTGTCTGGACAATGTCTGCATTTCACTTCTGTATTTATCCACCTGTGCCAGAAGTTTGTTATGCTCTTCCTTGAAAGATTTCAGTTCTCTTTCATACATCTGTTCTTTATCATGAAGATGTTGCTGTAATTTTTCACTACTAGTATTTTTGTCCTTGAGCTGCAAAACAAGCCCTTGTGATTCCTGCAGCTTTTGGACGGATAAAGTCAGCTGTTCCTTTAGAGAAGCGATGTGTGTTTCACATTCTGACAGATGATTACGATGGCTCACGGTGTGTTTCTGGATCTCCCCTCGAAGGTCCAAAATAGTTTTTTTGTCCTCATCGGCCTGCTTTATCAGATGTTCCAGCTCAGTCAGTTTCGACTCTCTTTCCTCTTTGGCACTGGCCAACTCCATCTCAGCATCCTTGAGTTTCCCAGCCAGCTCTGTGATCTTGCTGTTCAGGGTCTGCTGGTCTGAATTCTGTGAGTCTCTGATAATCTTGGCCTCCCGCTCTGCCTTATTCAGTGCATTTTCTATATGGACCAAGTTCTGTTCTTTGAGTTTGATCTCGTGCTTCAGCACTGTGATCTGTTCTGCATACTCCACCATGTTACCAGAGAGGACCGATATCTCCTTGTCCTTTTCCAAAAGGATATCTTTAAGACTATCGATTTCCCGCTCACAGCTCTGAAGGTCATGAATAAGTTGAGCTCGTTCTTCTAAGTGTGTGGTGTTAAGTTTGTCCAGCTCCTCAGATGTCTGATCAAGCTCAGTTTGTAATGTTTCTATGGTGAGTTCCTGCTTTTGTGTCTGAAAATAATAAGACAAAAACAACAGTGAGGCAGGAAATGTTCCCTCACTAATGCAAAGCCATATAAGATTAACCAGTTTCACATTTTCATTATGCAGGTGTCAAGGAGTATTATCTGATCAACTGCAACCCGTAAATGTAATAATAAATGGATAAAATAATAAACCATTATGTTAAACAGAATATATGAAGACTGATTCATTCATTCACACCTTCTCCTTCAGCACAGTCAGCTTCTGCATGAGATCTGCAACTTCTGTCTTCAACTTGAAGCACTGTTTCTCTGAGCTACTGCACTTCTTGGAAACATTCTCAAGCTGAAAGGAGGAGAAGAAAGATTTAACAACAGTTACACAATGTACAGTGATGAATCCTCACACACACACAAAATAAAAGGAGGCAAAACTTACAGCATTCTCAGTCTGAAGGAGCTTGTCAGTCACCTCTTTGTACTGAACCTCTTTTTCACTCAATGATTCTCGGAGGCTGTTAATCAGCTCAAGTTTCTCAGACGTCTTTGCCAGTGTATTCTCCTTCTCAACGAGGGAGCTTTCCAGGCACTCTTGAGTTTCTGTCAACCTACAAAAGACAAGCACAACACTTAAAACTGTTAACACTGAACATACCAATATCAAACACCTGGTCACATGCTGCAGCGTGTCAGGCAGTTTACACTGCTCATGGGTACAGAGAGGTGCTGCTGGACAACCTGACAGCGACTGGAGAGATGTGGCCCAGTTTCTGTGTCTTGGGTGCAAATTTTGCCACAGCTGAATGGTCTGCAGAGATGTTCCAGGCAAAACCTTTCAGTGTTTTATTTAAATTTTACACACCACTGTACAGATACACTGTATTATGACTTGTGAGGAAATCCTATTGTATATAATGAATGGACTCTCATTTCAGAGTGCAGAGCCTGTGACTCAGGGACAACAGGACTGACGTTTTACAGGTTGAAACTATATATATGCAAGTATTAACACTTCTACTACCTTATTAAAGATGTTGTCTCTGCAACTTGCTACACTCATCTGCATGTCACAGTCAGAGAAACATCTGTAAATAAACTATAGTGGAGAAGGAATTGAAATCTGGAAAATCTGGTGGGTTGATCAAATTTCTAGGAGATTTTTGTCAGTTTGGAGCAGTTACTGAGACAGTTTTATTGAAACTTAGCAAACGGGAAAGTGCGATTCTGGGCCTGGTCACTGATTTGATTGCAGCTGAGGACTTTTTCTGGATGCCTCCCCTTCTAGTAAACTATCTAATAAATACACATAATATACCTGAGAATATGGTTAATGTTTTTTGTAGAAAGAGAATAAGTTAGTGCAATGTCTATTAATGAGCTCTCAAACCGCAAACTGATATATTTAGCTTAATTATGTTTTCTCTGTGAATGAAACTCTTACCCTTTGAGCTGCTCATTAAGGTTGTTAACCAGTAGCTGATGATTCTCTGCATCCCTGCTCTGTTGAAATCGAAGGCTGGCAACTTGGCTCTGCAGTTTCTCTGACTCATTCTGTAGTGGGAGCAAACCAGAGATCAATAAGCAAAGATTAAATTCTAAACTAAACTCCCACTGCACACAGACATGGATAACAGCAGACGCGCTGGAAAACGGCAGCCAATGAGACTGATTAACTCGTCACAGTCACTATCGGAACCACTGATATCGTCTGATACTTATTTTCCCCATTCGCGTGTTAATAATGACGTGTTATTCACCGTTTCTGACAGTTACAAAGTTAAGTGTGGTTTACAACACCCAGTGAGTCTGCAACGGAATATGAAGCACACCACACCATTAGCCGTCACCGCCAGAGGTGTTCTCTAGCGCACGCATAGACAAGAGACCAAACACACCTGAGAGGCCCAAAATGGCTGCTCATCTTCATTTACATCAAACGTCACCTGTGTTAGAAGGGTTTGTTACAAAATCCCAGTCCTCAGGGGGAAACATGCGATTCATTGTGTTTACTCAGTTATTCATCAGTAGGTACGTTACAGTTTGACTCAGCCCTGAGATAGCGCGTGATGTATGCACAATGAGGTTACCTGTAATGCCTCGATGCGTGCCTGCAGCTGCAGCCGATCCTCCAGACCTTGGCAGCGCTCCTCCAGGCTCAGTATCTGCTCCTGCAGCTGGTTCCTTTCTAGCTCCAGCTCCTCCACAACAGACCGCAGACCATCTGGAATAATGGGGAAAGGGAGGAGGTCATAACTGGTACTGGGGATATATTGTGACAAGAAAAAGAGGACAGTAAAGGGAGGTGGAATTAACTAATATTTCACAGGATAAACTCATCAAAGCGAACACTTCCACTGCAAAGTCACGTGATACTCATCACTGTGCTGCTCTGAGCCTCTCCATTTGGGGTTTCATTCACTCAGTAATTCCAATTTCTCCTTCTCTGCTACTTCTTCAGGCATTGTTAAGTTACCATTAATGAAATGTAACGCTTCCTGCACAGGGGTTTCAGATTAAAAGCATTCAAGTAGCTCAAAGAGAATACTTATTAGTCAATTGTTGTAATGTAGGGCTGTCGCTCAATATTTAAAAGTTGAACTAAAGCTGGGAAAACTATCCATCTTAATTAAAAATTCATTGTATGTAAGTGCAACAGGCTGCATCTTGCACTCCAGGCGGGGGTGTTCATAAAATGCACGTCCATCTGAAGTAATGTTGCTTCAAGGTAGAGTGGTGGTTTTCTTTTTTAACAAGGGGGCGGCTGTGGTTCAGGAGGTAGAACGGTCGTCCCCCCAGTAAAACTGATTTTCAAATGGCTAAAACGAGTGAGTAATGCTTAGCAAATAATCCGGACACTAAACATCTGAGATGTCATGTGTAAAATATTTTGATTTCAAAAGAAAAATTATAGATAAAAATAAAACTGCTGTATTTTTTAAATGTATCCACCTCACAATAAAAACTGAAGCTTAAATTAACTGTTGGCTTTCCCTCAGGTGAATTAACAGAACTATCAGTAAATTCTTCAGCAAAGCTTATGATTATGTGGGTTACGCTGGCATTCATTACAGATAGTTTTGAAGTGACAGCCGTAGCTTGTATTGGTAAAAGTGGGGTAAGTAGGTAAAAATCTGTTGGAAGGATTTAACAGTAGAAAGGGATGATCGAAAGATGCCTCTCTTATGAGTATGGGCTTATTAAAGGATACTAGCATACAGTGTTCCATTTAAAACACAACTCCACAGTTATCATTTCCATTTTGTATTTTTGTTTTCTTAATCTTTTAGATATTGCCAATGTATTATCTGGTTTCATGATAAGAAACAGATTAAAAGACCATAAAACATGATGAGAGGAAATGAAGAAAAAGAAGCAGAACATGCAAACAGTGAAAAACAGAACTTACCACAGATGGGGAGCATCTGGACACCTACGTTTATATGCTCACACAAGAATTCAGTGAACTAATCCAAACAAACTCTAGGCAGCTCAACCAGCATGCACATGTTCAACTGATGAAAATGCAAACAAATGAATGAGTGTCTAACTCTCAGGATAAAACCTGTTGTCCCAGAGTTATATTTAGTAAAATGGGAATTAGCTTCGGTTTACCTGCAGCACGCTAAGGTGTGCAGCAAGCTGAACCAAGCTAATCCTTACTGCATGTAAAACACAATAACCCAGGGCAGGTAACCCAGGCCTTACTTTCACTATACTGGCAGGTTAAACGAAAAAAAAAGACAAAACCAACCGACAGCCACAATCCACAGTGTTATGGTGAACACAATAAAACATCAGCCCAAAAACAACTGAAGGTTCCCAGTGCAGATGACCGTGTGCATGCCGGTGTACAACTGTCCCGCAGCTCTCACACCTGTGTCAGGAGTACTGTACTCGGGCCACCAACCTCCCATGTTCTCTCCCTCCATCGGGGTGGTGCTCTCTGAGGTGCTGCGTGGGTCCTGGAATGAGGCGTGCCCATCAAACTCAAAGTCCTCCTGTAAGGGGAGACGACTGAGTTGAAACTGAGCGCTACCAAATCATAAAACACAAATTCTTTAAAGAACGAATTTGGACTTTTCTGCCTGTGAATCCCACAAAATATCCAACAGTCATTTCTACATTTGTCTTTGTATAAAGTAGCTGAAGAAGATGACAACAGGAGGTGCTGCTAGTAAGCAGGAGGGTTTTTGGAGGCAGGCAGGTTAGCTGCCTTGCCCTCTTCCAATCTTTATGGCAGGCTGACCTAAGGTAGATACCGGTGACTTCAGGTAGGAGGAAGCCATCTGTCTGTGCAAAATGCCAGCTAGCCAGGAAGTACCCCACTGGAGTACAAGGACACAACTTCAGTTGTTAAGCTGTTATGCAGCAAAAGGCATCAATAAGCAAAATTTTCCAGCCTTTGAAAATGACAAGAGGATTGGGTGAAGTTACATTGTGCAGTTTGCAGCTTGCAGAAGATGCTGCTCTTTGCTGCCACTGGAAACAACCTGGTAAAGTAAGCATTAAATAAATGTCCAAAGGTATGTTGGTAAAACCAGTCCACAACGAGACACAGCGACACCAGCCTGGCCACCTACCTGCAGGCTCCGCTGGGCCAGAGCTGTCAGCTTCTTGGCCCTGTGTTGGTCGAGCCCCCGAGCTTGAGCCAGCTCCTCCTCCATCTCCTGCTGCCGAGTGGCCAGTGCTGGATCGGAGCAGCCAGGAAAGAACCAGTCATCCTCAATCAGTTTTGTGCCACAGGGAAAGGGGGAGGTGAGCTTGGATGTATATGTGACTAGGTGATGGGTGCAAAATGGACAGAATGGTGCCAGAGTGAAGGGAGACATTTGTTGAAGACAGAATGGCAAAGATGCAGAGTAGACTAAAGAGTGATGGCACAGATGGTTTCGATGAAGAAGCAGATGAGGCACATTCAACACCACAAATAAACTTTGTAACGCAAAAAACGGTTTCATCAGCAAAGATGACAAAGAGAGACAGACTATAAGAAACATATGGAGACAGAGACTGAGAGAATCAAGGATGAAGAAAGTCACCCCAATATGAGAAAGTTACCCCAGATATGTATGTACTTTTGCATCTGCATAACGTTTGTAGACCTGAGCAACACTTCAGAAGCAACACTCCGGTCAGAGCCATGCACACCTAATTTGCATAGCAAAGTCAAACAGCATCAAACGTGGGAGACAGGGAGTGAAAGTGGCCGTGGGAGGAAGGAGAGGGCCCATTTTCATGAGTCACACCTAAAACCAATGTGTCATCACTGTGGCTTCAATAAGAAGACCAGACAGGTGCCGATCAGAGGGACGTTTATATCATTTGATCACTATTTAGAAGCACAGGGTGCAAGCAGGGCAATGTCAAAGTGATTAGACTGAACAAAACATGTTCCCATCTGTTTTGTGACAACAGGCTGATTTTGATGTGTAGGGGGAAAAAGAGGGGGGGGCAGTTCACACCAAAAAGTGGGGCAGAAAAAGAAAAGGAGTTCAGTGGGTTGAGCAGTGGTCAGTGTGGGTTCAACTGAGGTGGGCTCTATTCAGGAGGACTATGCATGTAATACTAGATTATTATAACACTACAAATACAACTCAGAACACACATCAGGACAAAGATCATCTACACTAACCATGCTGCATAACACAAGTGTGAAGCATAGCAGAGCCAGTTGGCATCACACTGGCCATTTCACCTCCAATGACCACAGCAGCAGGGATCATACACAGTGGGTGTAACAGCATGACAGAAATGAGCATTATTCATGAAGCCAAACCAGTTAATATGTTTCTTTCCAGTAGCGTCTGCTTCTGTTTGTGAACAGCACCCAGCACAGTGTCTGATATCTGATGCCGTAAGTTTATTTTATAGAGAGGACTGGGTTCATATGAATTCACTTACTAGACTGGGAAGATCTAAATTTCAACAGGGAGGGCAATTCATTGATTTACTTATTTCCCTAAAACTAGTATTTGTAAAACCAACTCCTCCTATAATATCTCTGGTTAAGAAAGAGTGGGCAGCAGCAGTGAATCAGAGAAGCAAAAGCACAGCAAGCATTAATGCCGGTGACACTGTAGTCAACATGCCTTTAGATACTGTTTATAGCAGAGGATGAGCCAACTTGGATACCATTTGACTCAATAGAACAGCCAGCACGCCATCGTCACGCTACAAGCCACATCAGAGCAACTTGTGCATCACACAGGACTTGGTTTCCACTTCAGCAGTAAAATAATAATTACAGTATTTCTGGTAGCATTTGAACATTAGTCAGTCAGTGTACATGCTTCCAGTACTAACTGCACCTGAAATCATTAGAATTGACAGCAACAGCAATGACTGGATGGAAAGAATGCAAAGCTAAAAAAAAAGGAAAGGTTTTGGCCTAATGTCAGCATTAGAAGAAATGGTGAAGTGAGACACACAGCTCAGAAAAACTCTGGAGAAGGATTTACTGCAGCAGTCTTTCATAAAGAGGGTTAATTACTGTCTCATTATTCACAACAGGTTCATTAATGTCCACCCCACTTCACTGATTCTGCAATTTAACAGCCAGTAGCACACAATGTTAATCAAAATCAGCAGCCATAATTTGTGTAAAAGGCACCACAAGCCACTTTATTTTGAGTTTGACTTCATAAGAATACATTTTATGCGTTACTCTTTTTTTATTTTTTAAACAAAGCAGCAGGATGCCTAGAGGGGTGACTGAAATTTGTTCAGGTAATCAAAGGATGACTTGTACTTGTTGTGTCTATTTCCTAAATGTGACATATAAATATTTTAAGTAAATCCAGATTTTAGAGTAAATCATTGGCCATTACAAGTGCATATAACTTTTAAAAATACCTGGAATACGTGAGCTTTATAAGTGATTAAAATGTTGTGCAATGAATAAGATCACTTCATCTCCACCTACGTTTTTAGCCTACAAACAAACATAGTGTGTGTGTGTGTGTGTAACATGAAGCAGTCTAACATCTCTGAAGGGTGACACACAGTGGTCATCTTCTCAGAGGTAGTACACATGAAGCCATCCCAGGACAAATGACAGTTCTGTTTGATTTGCTCTGATACCAGGATGCTATTATTGGTATCGATTCCAAATATTGCAGTGTGGCCACACCAGTAGTCAAAGGACAGAACATAAACACTGGGACAGAAGAACAGAAAATGGTGAAGGAGCAGAAATGAGGAAAAACACGGGAAAGGGGACGACCAGAGAAATAAGATGACAGACTGTAAAGTGCAGTCTGCCACTGTACTGCCTGTAGTCACTCCTGCTGTTAAGGTCAGGAAACTGAAGGCAGTATAGTGAGCAGGAGCTGCACCGGAGGTGTCGAGGAGCCTGCATGCACAAAACTGATGGGAAACTGTTCTGTGTGGCTGCTCCCATCCCTGGAGCAGGGGCTGGAGAGGGAGGGAGGGTGGGGGCAAAGGTCCACGAGATGGGAGGCAGCACAGGGCCAGCCACGTGCTCCCCATTAACAGGTGAGGATGGGAAAAATAAAGAAGATGACAGTAATGTTCAGTCAGACAACAGAGGACACATGGTAACCAGTAACACACACACACTCCAAATCTGTCTCTGCCACAGTGTAACGGAAGGGCTGCTAACAGTGGGACGAAATAAGAGAAGGTGTAAAATGAACTGAACTTCACCTTCATTTCAGTAGTTTACTAAATTCTACTGTGATACACTGAAAGGCGTTTCTAATATGAAGCTAAAACTACACCTCTCAAACACTTCCAGCAGGAACTCTGTCGTAGCCTTCATCAGCCTAGGATCAGGATTCACAAACAACAACATAAGAGAGAGGATATGGCTCCTATCTGTCACATCTGTAGACACCAGGACTGCAACGTTCACATAGGAAACAACAGCTAAATAATAATGAATATGAGCTTTCAAATTCATGAGATGTAGGCCTCTTGACTGATTTGTGGATGACTGATAAAGCTGTGATGGTGCGGAGGGTGAGCACGGGTGCAGCAAGGCAGTCATCCAAAACAACAAAAGAAATCACTACGCTATCTAGAAAAACAATAAAGTATTCCCACATCAGAGGTGGGTCGAACTCTTCCATCTGTCTCTGCCACAGTGTAACGGAGGGGCTGCTAACAGTGGGACACTGTAAGAGAAGCTGTGACTCAGAGCTGCCCCGAAGGAAAACAGGAGCAGACACTTTAGTGACTGAACATGTGGTGAAGCTCAGGGCGTCTGTCTAAGGCAGTGACTCAAAATGTGTCACAGATTCCAGCGACACTAAATTAATTGATAAAGATGACAGAAACAGCACCGGTCTCTGGACTGGGAAGCCAGTGAGACCAGTCAAACAGAAGCCAGCACCACCGGCATGGCAAGACTTTAACAAAATGTTTGATCTCTGTGTTGTTGTAAGGCATGGGTATTGTTAGGATTTTAATGATGTTAACACTGAAACTGCTTATTGATACAGAGACTTATCAATACTGTTATTGATACCACTCTCCATAATTTAGTGCTAGTTGTTGCAGTCAGTTTTGCTGATAAAGATTTGATGCTTTTAAAAATGCTGCGTACGATCCTGGTTCAAACACCAAAGTTTCTTCTCTAATCAGTTGAGGATGGCCGAAAAATTATGGTAATTAAAGTAAAAGAGTTTAAAATCAGATTAAAGGCAACTTATGTCACAGGCTGATCCAGTGTATTAATGGAAACACTAGTACTTGTTGCATTTTTTGCTTAAGGCTGTGGCATATGATTTCTTACAGCTCTTAGCAGAATAGTACTTAAGGGCATTTCTTAATATAAACGAGACTCGCTGTGCATGAGCGTCGTTGATGCACAGGGCGTCTGATTTTCTAAGCAGATTAGGTGTGCATCAGGCAGGTTTAGGGACGTGACAAATGCAAACATCCATGTGTCTATTTCTATAAAAGAAAAAAACGTGTCCCAGAATGTTCACCCTGATGAGTTACTCCAATTCTACTTAGTGGTGATACACAACTGAGCCTTCTGCTTCCGCCTTCATTCCTTGGTAGCCACTGACACTGTGTCACCCTCTAGCAAAGACCTTACCCTCTCGTTCCTCTTCTATGTGGCTAATGCGGAGGGCCATGGCAGTCTTCTCCTCGCTGGCCCGGTCCCTGGCGCTCACTGCCTCAGCTACCATCTCCTGCCACTCCAGGACTTGGCTCTGAGTGTCATCAGCGCTGCCCGACTCACTGGCCTGTGACCAGAAAGAGAGGGTCAGGACACCAGATCTGAGCAGGCTTCATCAACTGTAGCACCTAAAGCAGGAGAGGTGAAGAATCCTGGACCCTGACCTGAGAGGCAGCCCTCTTGGTGAACTGCTCCAGGTCTGCTTGTAGCGCCCTCTGTTGCTCCTCATACACCACCAGCTTAGCCTCCAGCATTTCTGGCAGAAATCACCCGACACACAATGTTTGTGTTCGGACTCAACAGTGACTTAATTAATTTAAAATAGAGCAGGTGAGTAAAATTCACAAAGAAACATTGTGTGTCAATGCTGATACTACACCCGAGGAAGTAAAATCCGCTCAGGTTTGATTTCGTTACCGTTATTTGTTTTGAGCTCCTTGTATTGCTCCACCTTCCACAGGTTTTCTTCTCGTTCCTCCTCCAGCGCTGTGATCCGACTCCGCAGGGCAGTCAGGTCTGGGGCGGCGGCTCCAGCCTTAAGGGGACAAGACAAACATCTGCTCAGTGGGTCTCATTTCTCACCGTGTAGCCTTGTTGAGAAGACGTCCTCTTGCCTTCTGATGGGGTTGTGATGTGCACCTCTAGGAAGCAACACTGAAAATCCAGACTTGTGAAGACAGTCTAAAAAGCTGGTCATCTCACCTGAATTTTCTTCAGCTCCTCCTCCAACTGTCTGATTCGAGTCTTAGACCAGGCTTTCATTTTCAGGAACTTGGCCTCTGATCTGCTGGCTTCATCTCTTTTTTGCTTTGCTTGGGCTGGAAAGCATAAAGAAAGAGAAAGACGATGATACAGATGAAGTGGTGGTGCTCACATTTCTGAAGAAATCACACCGATTTATTTTAACCACTGGAATAAACAGCTTTCATTGTCTTATTTCATTAAATTGTGGGATTTATCTGTGTTCATTTTACATAACAAAAACTGATACAATTTTAATTACAAAAAAATAAATCTATGGCACAAAAAGGCAGGTTAATAGTTTGGTGACATTTTTGTATTTGACCCAATTTATTGTTAAATGTGGTGAACTGGATCTACTTGGATACACAAGACATAAAATGTGGAAGAAAATAAGTCAAAGTCAATGAGTAAAAAGCTGATCAAAGTCTGTGCACTTTAACATCACAAAAAAACTGCTGAACATTCATCAACCACCATGAATCTTTTACATTCTCAACATGTAAATAACATTATCAAAAACAAATAATAATAATAACATAAGAGAAAAACCAACCTTCCAGCTCTGCTATCCTTTGAATGGAGGCTGAATCTGTGAGCATGGCTCCACCTCCTGGGGCCTCCTGGCTGGCAGGTGGCACTGCGACCGAGACCCTCCTCAGCTCCTCCAGCTGTCCCAGGAGATCCCGCTGGGTTTGATCAATCTGTACCTGATGCTGCGTGGTGACTCGCTGCAGCTCCGCCTGCTGCTTCTCCATCAGGTCGCGCAGTTGTGCTCGCATCACGTGCTTCTCTGCCTCCATCTTAGATTCCAGGCTCTCTCGCTCAACCTGCAGCCGACGCAGCCGTTCTGTAAGCTCCTGTGGGGTGAGAAGGTGATGAAGAGGAAGGACAGTCAATGATGTGAAAAGTGTAATCTGATTAATTCCCGACGTGTCAGAGAATGGCTATCATATCATGGCAGGAAACTCTCAGTAGCCATAATTAAAAGCCAAGCATGTCATCACAAAATATACATATACACAGAGGGCACAAAGACATTTCTTGACCTTTATCTGCTCGTCCCTGCCGTCCACCTCTCCCTGGAGCACGTCAATGACTTGGGTTTTGCCCCGCAACACCTCTTCTTTCTCATGGAGCTTCTGTTTGAGCGCCTTCAAAAGCTAACAAGACAGAGAAGACGTGTCTAACTTCATATAATATCCACAACCCACTGCTGACACATTAAGACAGTTACACAGATTTACTGAGATTAAATACAGCAAATATATATGTGTTGTCTGGAATCACACAACTACAGCAGTAAGACCTGACTTCCCTCTGACATAATTCAATCCTTCAGTACCTGTTGCATACTTGTACAAAACAATATTACAAAGACAAAACCGAAGATTCTGTTGGAGAAATGTGTTTCCTTAATGGCCGATTCAGAGCTGGATGCTGTCACTACCTGCTCCAAGTCTGCACTGGCATCCGACTTGGCTGCTAGCTTAAAGAGCTCCTGCTCGTGCATCTGGTTGATCTGCATCAGCTGGTTATCCTTCTGAATGATGATGTCTTTGAATGTCTGGATCTAACAATAGACACAACGTGCATCATCAGAAACAAGATACACAAAAACCATTCTCATTAACATACAGCATCAAATTCTACAATGAACAAGAAACAGTGAATCACTGTGTGTGTCTCTGATCGGAACCCTGCCAGTGTAGCAGCTGAAGGGTTTAAAAACCTACATTCTGCTTGTACATGCTCTCCTTCTGGCTGTACTGCTCCTTCTCTGTGGCCAGCAGCTCTCTGAGGCTGTCCGTCTGCTCCTGCAGCAAACTGTAGCGCTCCTCTGCTTCTCCCACCTTTCTGGTCAGACTCTGTACCAGCAGCTGGAGCTCCTGCACTGCTCCACTGTCCTCTGCCACCTGAGAAGGCACAGACAGGGCGAGCATCACTGAGGGCACTGGTAACGGCACTGTCTCAGAGAGATGCACGTATGTAAACAACATATATTATTCTTCTGCCGTTGTTTCTTCTAGCCTAATTTCAAGATGTCTGCTGTGGAAAAATGGGGTCTTGTTCACGAGTGAGGGAAGGATGGAACGGGAGATTGACAGGCGGATCGGTGCAGCTTCTGCAGTAATGCAGTCGATGTACCGGTCCATCGTGGTGAAGAAGGAGCTGAGCTGTAAGGCGAAGCTCTCGATTTACTGGTTGATCTACGTTCCGACTCTCACCTATGGTCATGAACTTTGGGTCATGACCGAAAGGGCAAGATCCCGGATACAGGCAGGCGAAATGAGCTTTCTTCACAGGGTGGCTGGGCGCACCCTTAGAGATAGAGGGAGGAGCTCAGACACTCGGGAGGAGCTCAGAGTAGAACCGCTGCTCCTCCACACCCCGGGAGGACCTGGAGGAAGTGTCTGGAGAGAGGGAAGTCTGGGCATCTTTCCTTAGACTGCTGCCCCCACGACCCAGTTCCAGATAAGCGGAAGAAAATGGATGGATGGATGGATGGATGCTATGGAAAAATATTGAAATGGTGTGACAAGGTGTTCATGTCACATTTCTGAGAAGGTCTAACCTTTTGCTGGGGTGCAGGCATTACAGGCTGATCTCCTGCCAGTGCAGTTTGGAGGTGCACAATGTAGGCCTCTTTTTCTGCCAGCTTCCTGTCCTTCTCCGTCAGCATGGCATCCATTTCCTCGCCTCGCTGCCGCTGTGACTCCAGCACTTTGCTCTGAAAGTCATTAGTAAGGCTTTTTGTTTGCGAAATGAAAACACATTTGAAGACTTGTTTGCATGTCACTCTATCAGTGTGCACCTAAGAAAATCAAATAATGTGCCACATTAGAAAATCTCTGATTGCTTCAGGGCACCTTGTTCAGTGAAGATAATGTTAAACCGAGAAAATGTTTAAACATGTTATCTAGGCATCAGCCAGTGAGCAGCAGTAAGAACAAACAGGTGAACAGCCTCGATGATGTTCACTGAGCCAGTGCTTAAACTGGGATCAGTGCAAGGCCTCACAGATCAGGAGCTGCTTCTATTAGCAACAGCTCTGTTAATTACAGGATTCTTGGTTTTTAACACTTCTCCTCAAGAGAAGACTTAACAATTAATCAGTGAATAACCTTGATCATGATGGTGGCTTCACCTTTCAAGTTAATGAGGTGTGATAATTAAAGTTAACACTCAAAGAGTCAGTGCCTGCCATAAATACATCGACATTTAGAGTTTCAACTTGAATTAAAGGGTTTTTTTAATATAGGTGTGTAAATGATGTCACGAATAAATGTTTTTCACTACTATACAATTTCATTTTTGGAATCTCAGCCTAGCATTTATTGCAGTTGCTCCACCGTATGAAGCCTTCTGAGCCTTGACTACAGTGCTCCGATATATATCCACAACTCAGAAACCTAAAAATGCAAAGCGTGTTCTAATGCAGACTTTCCTGTTTGTTTGATGTCAAAACAAAATATTAATTAAAAAAAAAACCATGCCGTCCATTTTTGGGAAACCACCTGGGTGAAACATTTTTGACAAGCCTCTCAGAAGGACCACGCTCTTATTTTGTTGTAAATCAACAGCATGAGGATACTTTACCTTGTTTTCCAGTTCCTCATCTCTTTGTGCAAGCTGCTGCTCCAGTTCCTCAACCTTCTTCCTTAGCAAGACGATCTTGCCCCGACTGGCTTGCTCTCCTCCACCTTCTGATGACCCCTACAGAGAGACAAGATCACAAAGCCATAAAACCATGCATGCATGCACATTTGCCAGAAAACAAGAAACAAAACTCACCTCTGTGCTGGCAATTATTTGAAACACAGCAGCCATAATAACTTCATAAGCCTATAATACTGTGCATGTGTTTTACACGAGCCCCCTAGTGGTAAAAACCGCTAACTACATAAATCTGAATTAGCATTAAAAGAAGATCTACACACACATAGCGGTGAGGTGTAGTATGTACTGTAGGTATTCACATGTAATCTGTGTGCGTGCTTATACCTTCTTGCTGTGTGTTGGCGTGTCCTGACCTCCCTGCTGTTTCCTCAGCTCCTCCAGCTGGGTGGTGAGGGATGTCACTTTGGCCTTGTTCTGGAGACGCAACTTTGACAGTCTGGTCTCACATGCCTCCTTCTCCACCTGAGTCACAGAAGATATGTTCTTTACTTCAGGTTTAATACACTTGTTAAGTGCTTAGTTACACTACAATCTGCAGCACATCGTTTAGCAGCAGCAATCATCACAACATCTGAAATATAGATTAGATTAGATTCAACTTTATTGTCATTACCCATGTACAAGTACAAGGCAACAAACTGCAGTTTAGCATCTAACCAGAAGTGCAATAACAGCTGTGCAGAGTGCGCGGTATCTATAGTCTGTACAGTCAAGAACTAATTTACCGATGGATATGTACAATTGATATTTACAGTACAATATGTAGGGTAATGTACAACAGACTGTACATCTGTACACCAATGCCCTGGTGATGATGAACCACCTGACAATCTCCTATTATTGTTTGCACTACTATCACCGACTGTACTCAGTTTTGAGTCACAGCTTATTGGCTGTACCGTTTAGATTTATCCTAATTACGTCAATCCAGTTCTTATTCTATTCTATTTTTATTCTACCATATTCTATTTTAGTTCCTAAATGTTATGGCACCCAATACTAGGTGAGAGAGAAATGTTATTTCGATTTTCTGTATGTCCTGTACATATGGTGAATTGACAATAAAATCCTTGAACCTTGAGACTATATGTAGCTGCAAAGACGACTGTGGCGGTGTGACGGGTGACAAGCAGTGCAATCATGACTTTCAGTGGAGTTCTGTTTGCACTCTGCTCTAATGTGGTCTCTAAGCCAAACTTTAACATTTCATAGCTGAACTCTAATCTCACATTCCTGTCTTACTGTACAGTAAACTTTGACTTAAAAGTTTAATGGTTAACTAGATTGACCTGTTTTATTACAAGGTCCCACACAATGACTCCAGTGACAGCTGTGTTACCATTTTAGAGTAACTCACGTGACCAACTGTGCCTGGCTCAGTCAGATACTGATCCCTGGCAGATAAGCCCCAGAGCATGTGCTATTTTATTGCATGCTGTACAAGAACAATTACATCCATGTCACGCTAAAACACAAGGAATTATCTTAGCAGTATTGTAAATACACAGTGGCAGAAGCCCCAAACATAACTGAGGAAGATCAACATCATTAAAACCCCAAAGACCGATTGTGCTTAGCTTCAGTGTAGTTCATGTTTTAATATGCTGACAAAAAGTAATAAAAGAGTGCATTTTCATTAACATAATGTGCAACTTACAAATGTGAGAGACTGAAAATAAAAGCAGATGTTCTTTGTGTCATGGTTCAGGTAACCACATAGTTTCAATGAAAATATGGTTCCTAATTATCACAGATGATCAGTTTTATGAGCATAAATAATCTTACACTCTATAATGAGGGCACATTCAAATCCATCTGACTATTACTGTACACAAAGCAGTCAAAGACCAGTTTTAATACTGATTTCAACAGAGCCAACAGACATTTATCATATGATACAACACATCTAAAATCAGCATGTTTAGCAGAAACCAGGTGAGAAGCCGTCCTCACCTTCAGCTGGTCATCTTTGGCGTGAAGTGCTGCATCCTTCTCTCGGATCAGCTCCTTCAGCTGAGTGACCAGCTGCTCAGTCTGGCTCAGGCGCTCTGCCAACTCTTCAGCAGTAGCCTCTCCACCACCAGCAGCACCGCGGGGAGAGCCTGGGCCCTTAGGAGAAAGACAGGGGGCATAGTGGGCTGGTGACCAAAAAAGAAGTACTGTGTTTGGTTGATTCTGCTACAACTGCACACCCTGGCTACACAACATATTAAACTCCCCTGGAGCTGGAATAAGGACAGAGCACTGGAAGGCAATCACCCTTGTAATTGCTAAGAGAGGTCCCGAAAGACAATAAGGATGCACTGAGGCCACTTTCTGATACATAAATACATGTTTCCAGTACAGGTTATCATTTTTCTTTTTCAATTTAAACTTTGCATATCTGACTGGGCTCATTCTTTCTGCATGTATAAGGTACATAAGGCTTTAAATACACACCAATAGCAGGTATTCATGCACCACTATTCGGTACGGTGAGCTTATTAAACTGTGTTGTCGCTGTTAGAAATGACAGTGACACAGCTGTGTATTTAATGTGATCTGTCAGGTTGGGGCGCTTGCAGTAAGAATGCAGTGTATCGTTGAGTTCAGTGGAGCGAGAGCACTGAGTAGTGGAAAGGAATTCAAAACATACATGACTGATATCAAAGCCAACAAAATGAATAATGCTGCTTTAGTCCCAGCTCACATTAGTATGTATACAAGTCAATCTTAAATCCTTCGGATTAATACACTGAATCTTGTATTTGCAAAATTTAATGGCTAAGTAATTTAAGCAATTTCATCTAGCACTGCACTCCTAGCTAAGAACTAATCCAAAGATAAGCATATAGGCTGCACAGCAGACATGATGGGGATTTAGGAGGATTTAGGCTCGAGCAGTGGTTCCCCCCCTCACAGGAAGTGTGAGCTTTAACAGTCTGAGTCAAAGCCGTGTGCTCAGCAGTCTCTGTGGACATGAGACAGACTGCACATCTCACTGGGTCTCCTCTCAGCTCATTAAACCACTAGTAAGTGACAGTAAGGCTGCACAAGAAAATGACTTGTCTGAGAAAGGTTGTCAGCGCTGACTAAAATCAGAGTGGGATGTAAAAGTGATGACAAATGCATGAAAACAGCAACAACAGAAAAGCTGTGAGGCATGTTACTCATACACAAAATTCTTTCTGAATGTAAATGTGTATTTGTTAGATAGGACAGTGTTGACAACAGGGGCTGCCTGACTGTGATCATTCAAAAAGCAGCACATATGCACTTACTCTGGATCCCGGCTCTGCCTCCTCACCAGATAACCATTTCAGCATGGTTTCAGTTTAGATCTAAAAGACACATACAGTAAATATATTATTCAGGACTGCGCCTCTCCTGTCAAATGAAAATGCTTCAACTATGCCGTTACACTGATTTCAACTTCTGAATGATTTCTACATTTTGTTCTGACTTAAAAAAAAATATCTTATTTTAGCAGCATGATGTTCTCAAATGTTTCATTATGGTTTTAACAGTCTTACATCACTGTTAGATTGTTGTTTCATAAACATACGGTCTCAAATATTAAGAATGAGCTCCAAACACTGAAAACATCAGCAAAGTGTGTAAAAATGCACCTTCAGAAGCACAGGAGTGATACTGTGTTCAGGCCTTAGAAGTGCAGGGAATACAAGACTGTGCTCTCACTGTGTTCCTTCCTTAAAATATTTATGAGCAGTCTAGAACAGCAGATAATAGACTACAGAGTTCTTCCAGGTCAGTTCATCAGTCAGTGTAAGAAAACAGGCCGGCCACATGGCGGGACAGACAGGTGATTGTTGGCAGGACCAAACATAAACAAAAACTCTGCTGCTGGTTGCAGGCCAGAGGCCGACAAGTCAACAGGTCTGACTCTAGGTGCCTGCTGTAGCTAGTACACATGAGCCCTGGTATACTGTTAACTGCAGGATCAGCCAAATCCATTCAGTTTGCAGTACATTTGACACAACAGAAAATCAGGTCAGACCAGTTCTCATGCATACTACAGTAGGCCACAGTAGGCTAAATGTCACTGTGGCTATCCGGTGTCTTTCTTGAATGTCAGAATCATCAAGCTTTATACTATTTATTTATACAAACATTAAAATCACTTATTTATAGAAAAGGTGATGTGTGCACATCTGTTAGAGACCCCTGGTCCCTGACCGTGACTGTGTTATGGTTTATTATCAGATTCTCTCCTTTGAGAAACACTGACAGAATAAAGAATAAGCACAATGGGAGTCAGTGCGCCTGGCTATCGAATAACAGAAACAGACAAACTGTTTTGTCTTCACTCATGTCGCTGACGATAATCCTAGCTTTTAAAAAAACTAACAGCCCCCCAAAACTCAAATCTAGCAACTTACTGCCAAAACACTAGCGTCACCAGAAGTTGTCCGGGAGGTTTGGACATTAGCTAAGTTAACTAGTTGACACCTACGAATGTTACACTAACTGCACTGCTGACTAACCCGTACCACGGCTCATTTAAACCGCAAACGCTTCACGCCTCTACCAAGAGAAGGCCTCGGGGTCTAGGGTGCACGTCGGCAGGTCAGACAGGCATTTAAACACATCACGTTGATCCAGCGAGCTAACGTTATCTTGCCAGCTATGTGCTACATGCTAACCTAGCTAGCTAGCATTTAACTGCATCTTGTCTGTCCGCTTAATAAATTAGCTCTGTCAAGCAACATGTACCCGGCAAGTATCGTATTTATGTGCTTACCGGATTCACAGGTTCATAAAGAATACATCAGAAACCTCACTATCTCAACAAATCCTGTTAAATTACATCTTTTCCACTTGCTGACGAAACGGGATAGGGATGGATCGGTCACGTGTGTCAACAGACAAGCAGTAGGAATCTGCGGCTGCGTGATGCTGTCACGTTGACAGGTCCCGGAAGACAACATTTGCATTTAGTTAGTTAGGTAGGTACTTTATTGATCCCTGAAATTTTTGTGTTTCAGCAGCAATGGAGAACAAACAACATAGCACCATGAGAAACAAACACCACACACATCTTGATAAACAAATTTCAGTACCTCAAGCAGCACTAGAGAACAGACAACATAACACCATGAGAACAAGCACCGCACACACATCCTGATAAATAAATTCCAAGTACTCAAAAATAGACAGAATCAAGTATTTGAATAATCAAGAATAGAATTTACATATGTGCATATTAACCATGCAATTTTTGTATACTTATCGCTGAGTACAAAGCAAAGCACTGTGCGTGACGTTCATAGATATGAATGCAGCTGGTGGAGCTATGCATAGGTTTATTAGCTCAGCAAAAGTATTTTCTCAAAAAAAGGCCTCTTGTCCTGTCAATACGTATCAAAGAGGAAACAACAAACGCAAAGAACACGTCCTGCAAATCATTTCTGTTTTCATTTAAACAAACACATATGCTGTTGTGTTTTGAATACCAGCACTGTTGTGCACCAAGGTCAGAAATCTTCAAATATATTTGGGCTGAAAAAAAAATTGACATGTTCTTATCTTATAAAGTTGTTAAGACTTCCTTGTTAGAGAAGCAGTTGCCTACGCTTCCAGTAGAGAGAGACACAATATAAATTTAAAATGTGAGTTTCTGGGCACCTGATGGATGTATTATCCAATATTCACTCCACTTTTTATTCTGTTTTGTTCCTGGGGGACATATCTGGCTCTATAGCTGCTGCTAAGTGTTTATCATTATAATCACTGATGTTTTGTCTGCTGATTTCTGCTGTGGGTTTATCAAAAACTTTTTACTGGACAGGTACCTGCTGCTGCTTGAGACAGGGATGATGAGAGATGTTAAAACACTCTGCAGAGCTGACTGCAAAGTCATATAGAAATTCTGACAGTGCTACACTTGCCTCCCAGGTGAAAACTGTAGCAAGTCACTTGTTAATCTATTAAATTATGACACTGTTGCATTTTATTAACATTATGTTTATTATAATAATCACCCTGAAGCATGGCAAAATTAAGTATATTTACATGGCATTGTGCAAAGTAAAACTGATAAGTTTTTGGATGGGCTGTTAAGGCACATAACTATCCCATGGTGCATCCTGTAGCTAAAGTGAGTTCTCAGTAGAACCTGCTAGACCTGGCTGTCTAGCCAGAGGGGCCTGTGGCAGAACTGAGCATCAGACACATTCAGGACTTAAAACTGACCACAAACCTGGACCCTGTTAGGATTATAAACCCCAGACCCTGACTGGGATCAAGGCCAGAACAGTGCTCATGTTAACACATTCACTGGTTATGTAAAATTCAGCTTTTACAACAGTAACATTTAAATAATGCTTCATATTCATCATCATTCATCACTGCACTGGATTTTAATTCAGTCAAACAGTGTGTGAATAATGTAGAAAACAGCTTGTTTTATATGTAACTTAAAATTAAAAAAAACTGCATGTCACATATATTTACATAAACTATAGTAACCCTGCAGCCCCTGGTGGTGCATGGTTCCCCTTAATATCCCACAGTCACCTTTTACTCTGGGATTTTACTTAGTGGAACTGCTCCACTACGTTCAGTCTAAAGCTGAACTGACGCAAGCTGTCGCCACTTTCTGCTACACACTATCAGTTAGTACATCAAACCTTGACCCTCACATGACTCACCTGAGATAAAGCAGAAAGGGGTTTGTTCTGCTTGGTCACCACAGAGACAGACTTAAGAGCAGATGATCATATTTTTCTTCAGACCAAACTATCAACTTCCTCTGAGTGAGTCCAGCTACAGAGAGACAAGTAGAAAACTCCGACATCGCTACTTCAACCTGCTGAAACTCCACACACTGAATGTGAGTTTGACAACAATGTGACTCAAGGTGACAATAGTCGGGGGAGGGAAGCTATGACTGACTGTACTTTGCATTTGCTGTGTTTTCAGCTGCACTCACAGAATCAATGGCTTCCAAATCAGAGGAGGATCTCTGCTGTCCGGTCTGTCAGGACATCTTTAGAGATCCTGTTTTTCTGTCATGCAGCCACAGCTTCTGTAAAGATTGTCTGAAGAGCTGGTGGACGGAGAAACCAGCACGTGAGTGTCCAGTTTGTAAGAGAAGGTCTTCAAGAATAGAACTGCCTGTAAACCTGGTGTTAAAGAACCTGTGTGAGTCCTTCTTACAAGAGAGACCCCAGAGAGCTTCAGAGACTCTCTGCAGTCTGCACTCTGAGAAACTCAGCCTCTTCTGTCTGGATCATCAGCAGCTAGTGTGTCTCATCTGCAGAGACTCAGAAAAACACAGCAAGCACAGGTTCAGACCTATCGATGAAGCTGCACGACGACACAAGAAGGAACTCAAGGAAACTCTGGAGCTCTTAAAGAGGAAGTTAAAGGTTTCTGAACAAGTTAAAGTGGAGTTTGATCAAGCAGCAGAACACATTCAGTTCCAGGCCCGACACACAGAGAGGCAGATTAAGGAGCAGTTTCAGAAGATTCACCAATTTTTAGAAAAGGAAGAGGAGGCCAGGATGGCTGCACTGAGGGAGGAAGAGGAGCAGAAGATTCAGATGATGAAGGAGAAGACGGAGGCTCTGAGCAGAGAGATAGCAGCTCTGTCAGACACAGTCAGAGCCACAGAGGAGCAGCTGAAAGCTGAAGACCTCTCATTCCTGCACAGCTACAAGGCTGCAGTGGAAAGAGTCCAGCAGCACCCCCTGCTGGAGGAGCCACAGCTGCCCTCAGGAGCTCTCATAGACCAGGCCAAACACCTGGGCAACCTGGCCTTCACCATCTGGAACAAGATGAAGGACATGGTCTCCTACACTCCTGTGGTCCTGGATCCAAACTCTGCTGGTGCAGAACTCATTCTGTCTGAAGATCTGAAAAGTGTGAGACGAGGAGAGAGACAGAAGCTTCCTGACAATCCAGAGAGGTTTAACACTGGCTCTGTCCTGGGCTCTGAAGGCTTTGACTCAGGGACTCACAGCTGGGATGTCGAGGTTCGAGACAGCACATACTGGGGACTGGGTATGTTAGCAGAGTCTTTCCAGAGGAAGGGAGTCATAAGCTCTGGATTATGGATGATAAACCTCTGTCAAGGTAAATACAGAGCATGGTCACCAGCAGCAGCTCCACCCAGTCTTCTCTTTGTAAAGAAGAAGCCCCAGAGGATCAGAGTGAATCTGGACTGGAACAGAGGGAAGCTGTCGTTCTCTGATCCTGATACTAAAACACACATACACACATTCACACACACATTCACTGGCAGACTGTTTCCATACTTTGTCAATGTGCATAACCTCCCAGTGAAGATATCACCAGTGAAGGTCTGTGTGACAGTGGAACAGAGCAGTTAGAGATAAAGAGGGCGATTATATTTTTAATGCTGTTTATTTCTTAGAGGGAAAGGTCACTTAATTTCACCTGTTAAACTGCACCTGTCTTCCTGCTTCTCATTGCTCCAAAGCTGTGTTTAGTTTGGTTTTAGTTCTCACTGCTTTTTATTTCCTGTTTCTTGTCATGGGCTTTAACTACTATGACCTACTATTGTTCATATGTATAAAGTGATGTCACTTTCTCAGACAAGTCACTGATCGTCACATTTAGTGTGTTTTGTCTTTTCATTTTTATCCAAACTGTATCATCCATATGTTTAATGTGACATTTTTTCAAAATAGTCTGATGACAAAAAGAGTTGTACTGTGGGCTGCAACGTCAGCCCCAATGGTTCTGTATATGTTTTTAAAAACTAAGTACACTGAATTAACCATTAACAGTTCATTGTTGCTGTGTACCACTGGATATACAGACAACTGTCAGTGAATTAATGTGGTACTAAAGAGGTCTTAAAAACCTTAGGCAGGTTCTCTATCTCACAGTTACGAGGCAGTGCCTCATAATCACTGGATAAATACTCCAAACACAGTCTAAAGACAAGTATTTATTGTGTGTTACTCATCTGATTATCACATTTCTTCATGAAACTGATGCACAGCTCCTGAGTGTGCCACATCCGTCTCCTCTCTGTGGCTTTCTTGTCATCCCAAAGTCTCTGGTCATCTTGATCAAACAGGTCCTGTGTCGACGGGTCATTAAAGCATCTGCTCACACACTCCACTACCATGGAGCTGCTGTCTGAGCAGGCAGCAGGCTGGCTGGCTACAACAACTCTTATCTTATACACTTGTTAATCACTTGATCTTTAACCAATAATAATAATAATAAAGTTTATTTATAAAGCACTTACCAACTCAGAGAGCACTAAGTGCTACATCAGGTAATTAGAGCCTATATAATCAAAGAAAATCAGAGTCAACTAAGTAAACATATGACAGGCACATACATTCATTGATCTATAGCGTAATTCCTGTCCAGTCTGACACCACTCAGAAAAACTAAAAAATAAAAGCCTAAAAAAAAAACATAAAACAAGTTAAGCATGAAAAGCTTGTTTAAAAAGATACGTTTTCAGAGCTGACTTAAATGGAGCCAGTTCATTTATAGAGCGTAAATCCAAGGGCAGAGCGTTCCACAATACTGGGCCGTACACGGCAAAGGCCCATGTGCCAATGAAGTAGGTCTGTTGTGATGAAGCCCCAAACAAGTGATAACTGTGGTATCTAGTTAGTGTAACTATGAAACTGGTATTGCTGTTTGTCTTTGTCAGTCTCTGGATACATGCTGGATTATTTAAAGTTCGTACTCAGGCTATACTGGAACCCCTCCAAATAAAAAACAGGCAGTAGCAGATGACCAGAAAAACCTGAATGGGCCTAGTCTTCTCTGAGTCTTAGTGGACATTACCTCAGTTATCTACTCCAGCTTTGCCCCAGACAACATTTCCAGCAGTTTTATTGAAAGGCAGTCATTATTATGAGCTGACTCACAATAAAAGCCAATTACTGAAGTCTAAAGAGTTTTGTAGGGAGTGTTTGCTTGTTCACCCTGGTTTAAAAATAGAAGCTGCCATATGCTGTACCTTTATGCAAATCTGTGAAATACTTGAAATACTTGCTCCACCCCAACAAGCTGCACTGTCACAGCGATGTTTCCATGTTAATGTAATAGCTGGTAAACACGGAGGAGCACTGAGCAGCATCCACTACCTGCTGGTTCACACTAAGCTGAAGTATGATGGAGGAGCTGAGACAGATCCACACTAGAGATTATTTGAAACTATTTTCTCTATGTTGCTGATTGTTCCTCATGTTTAGTGGCTGTAAACTGTCATGGGGAAGCTGTGAATTTCTGTCATCAGATCTTATCTCTCAGCCATCTAGTGACAACCTGCAGAACTCGAATGTGAAGCTCCCGTCTGCTGGACTGGACAGACCACATTGTTCCTCGGAAGTTCTCAGGTCAGGACTTGGCTGTGTGTCAGGGGGTACACAGGGGATGCCCCTCCAGTCATAACCATTAGGATGTAGTTCAGAGTAGAATAATAATATGATTATATTCCACATGAATGAATTGAACAACAAAACACAGGCCGCAGAAATAATGACTGAATCATTATTGAAAGATGGGGGATTATTCATATGATTTTTATCTTCTGCAGTTGCAAATAGACTCAGCATTCAAAAGCAACATATGTACATATTATTACCAAGTTAAGGTATTATTACCAGTTCTAGCAGACTGGAAAAGGCAGACACAAGCCATGCAGCTCAGACAGACTATCACACACACATAATAGATTCAAAGCAAAGTTTATTGTTGATAAAGTTGTGTCTGGTAAATATTTGATTAACTATTAATTGCTGGAATGAATACATGAATGGTTTGGCACACACAGAACTACAATGGTGCACCTTTTCTATCGATTGAATTGAGCATTAATTCTGCATTGAGAGTTGGTTCTGAAAGTTATTATGGTGCCAGGAATTGAAATAAACCTGAATCATGAGATTCTCGAATAGTTCCATCTCTAATTACTAACTGAAGGAGCTAGTTAACCTTTAACAGTATTTTACACATGCATGACTGGTCTCCTGACATTTAGACTAGTAGAACAATTTTGGCAAGTAACATCTAAACAGGTTAAGTATAAAATCTAATTCCTAGCAATAAGTAAGCCCAGACAACATTAGCATAACAGGGCACCATTTAATTAAAGATGATAAACAACCAGCTGATATTTTACTCTAAGATTGTCTCAGTATCATTACTTGAATCATTCTTTACCTGTAAGTGACCTCCACACAAAAACAGGTAGGTCAGACAAAAAGCGAGCAGAGAACAGATCTGCTGCATGTAGCTCACTGAGACCAGCCTCTGCAGTGCAAACTGGTCAGTGTCTTTCAGTGTGTTCACAAATGTTATTTGTGTACATCTGCTTTATTTTGTGTGAGCTGGCTAAAGTTGACAGTAAGGCTCTGTTTGTATGTGTGTGTTTGATCATAGAAGCAGGCTGTGCTAATTTGGCACCAGCCCTGAATTCCAGCCCCACCCATCTGGGACAGCTAGACCTGAGCTACAATCATCCAGGAGACTCAGGAGTGGAGCTGCTGTTTGCTGGACTGGATGATCCACACTGAAGGATGGAAACTCTCAGGTTACATTCATCTGACACACACTTACTTTCAAAACAACTTTTCATTAGCTTATTTACTCCTGTTGGTCTTTGGTTCTTGTTACCATTGCTAACTCTAAGAGACAAGACAGTCCAAATAACTTCAAAACACTGCTGATTTATTCAAAGGATCACAGGTAAAATTAACATTACACGCTCAGGTATCTTGCACCTCCAAACTGCAAGCAGGCAGATGTAAGATGAAAGACCCCTGTCAAACATCCTATCTGCTGACAGTCATCAACTTTTCTCCCTAGTTATCCTTGACCAGATGTACCCTATAGAAACTCATAAGCATGACTAAGCATTTAACAGTCTAACTACACATCCTATCTCCACTAAACATTTCTAATACATAAAGTA